TTACCTCAACAAGCAGGGGGGGGGCCCGGTCGCCTCCCCTCTGCAGAGAGGCTCTGCTACTCTGGCATCTGTATGTGAAACACGATATCACGCCACAGGCGGAGTATCTCCCGGGGTGCAAGAATCTGTTAGCAGACACACTGAGCAGATCCTTCGGAGCCCACGAGTGGTCACTCAAAGACTCTATCCTGCATCAGGTTTTCCGCAGGTGGGGTTATCCCCTCCTAGACCTGTTTGCACTCCCTCCAGTCCGGGACCTTCTAACTCAACCCTGGGACGGGGGGACCATGGTTCACTCAGATCTCAGGTTTCTCCACCTAACGGCATGGTTTATCTGTGGCTGAACAAACCAGAAAGGGAGTGTTCCCAGGAGGTTCAGATGGTACTCCTCAGTAGCAGGAAGCCCTCTACCAGACGGTCGTACGCTGCCAAGTGGCGGCGCTTCTTGTCTTGGGCGTCCCGAAGAGGAGTGCACCCTTCCTCTGCCCCTGTCCCGACTATCTTAGACTATCTTTTTGAGCTTCGGTCCAGTGGCCTCTCTTTTTCTTCTATTAAAGTCCACGTGGCATCTCTCTCCGCCTTCCATGTGGGTACGGCAGGAGTTTCCCTCTTCTCTGACCCGGTGGTTAAAAGATTCCTTACCGGCCTGGAAAAATTGTATCCCTCAGTGAGGGTCCCTCTCCCCGCCTGGGACCTAAACGCAGTCCTCCACAGGCTTATGTCACCCCCTTTCGAGCCGTTGGTTATGTGCTCCCTGAAGCACCTCTTGTGGAAGGTTGCTTTCATCGTGGCTATTACGTCTGCTCGTAGGGTTTCCGAACTAAGGGCGCTGACTATAGATCCGCCCTACCTTGTCTTTTCACATAGTAATGTGAGGCTCCGCCCTCATCCGGCCTTCCTCCCAAAGTGGTGGTGTCACCATTCCACTTGTCCCAGGAGATTTATCTCCCGGTTTTCTTCCCGAAGCCCCACACCTCCCCCAAGGAGTGGGTGCTCCATTTCCAGGATGCTAAGCGGGCACTAGAGTTCTATATTGATAGAACCAAACCCTTTCGCAGATCCCAGCAGTTGTTTGTTGCTTTTGGGGGCAGGGTAAAAGGGTTGCCTATTTCAACATAGAGGTTGTCAAACTGGGTCGCAGAATGTATCAGGGAATGTTATCAACTGGCTAGCAAGATCCCTCCCAGGGTTACAGCACATTCTACCAGGGCGCAGGCATCCTCGGTAGCGTTTGGGGCTCAGATACCGATTACAGAAATTTGCAGGGCGGCCACATGGTCGTCCCTACATATCTTTACAGCGCACTATGCACTAGCACAACAGGCCAGGGAGGACACAGGGGTGGGCTCTGCTGTCCTCAATTCTGTGGTGTAAATATGTTGAGTTTTCACTGTTATTGGCTTATGCCTTCTTGGTGTTTATCTGTTTGAATAAATCTGTTCCGTTTATTCACCTTTACTATGACACCTGTGGTTTGACTGCTCCGACCCCTCCTCCGTATGTGGGGTTGGCTTGGAAGTCACCTACTTTGAATGGACATGAGCAACCACTCGAAGAAGAAAAGAACGGTTACTTACCTGTAACTGTTGTTCTTCGAGATGTGTTGCTCATGTCCATTCGACTCCTTCGTCAGAGTGTCCGGCAAGAAGGAACTGAGGTGGGGCAGTGCTGGCAGGGGTATTTATGCCCCGCCATGGTGGCGCCACTCCAGGGGGCGCCCTGCCGGCGCTACGGGTACTGCTAGGGAAAATGCTCCGGAAGACGTGGTGCACGCGGTGCGCGCACCTACTTCGAATGGACATGAGCAACACATCTTGAAGAACAACAGTTACAGTTAAGTAACCGTTCTTTTCTTTTGAAAATGGCAGGCTTTTTTGAAAGATCCTGTACTCCTCAAAAATGGAGTTTTCAAAAGAACCATGTCTAGACCGCGGTTTTACTTTCGAAATGGTGCTTATTCAAAAGAGCACCATGACGTGATAATGCAAATGAAGCGTGGGATATTTAAATTGCCACTTCATTTGCAGTTTAGAAGTGCCTCATTTATATCCCTCTATCGACAGAGAGATGTAGTCTAGATGTAGCCACTGAGTCTAAAGTTGCAGTATGTGCCCAAAGGAATTTTGCAGCTTGAATAAAGTAATTAAACATGTTAGCTATGTGAAGCTATTGTCATTTCAAATCTTATCTTCAGCCCATCTCCATTGCTCTGCCAGCAGCTAAGGGGCGTGTCTACATCAATTATTCCTCACTAAATCAGTATGTGAATTTAAAGCCCAATAGGTGTTTCATAGTAAGCCTCCATATGGTCACTCTTGTTCTAGAATAAGCATGTCTGGGCAGACAGCTATTGAGGAGTAGCTACTTTAGACAATTTCCTTGTGAGGCAAGCCTTATTTGAGCCTTTTTTTTTTTCTGTCCCCAGCTCATGGAGTGACTGCAGTTTTAGGCTTTCCCTATAGGTGGCAATGTAAGGCTGATGTTTTTAAAAAATACCAAATACTTGTATAATAGTAATAGAAATGTAGCCGTGTTATTCTGGTCTTGCTGAAACAAAAGACAGGACTATGCAGCACTTTAAAGACTAACAAGATGGTTTATTAGATGATGAGCTTTCGTGGGCCAGACCCACTTCCTCAGATCAAATTGTGGAAGAAAATTGACATGACCATATATATCAAAGGGATACAATCAAAAAACACTAGACAGTAACCTCCCCCCCACACGACACCTCTGTTCTAAAATCTGATTTTTCAATTTTATGTGTTCACTTTTTTTGATTATGCCAATTTTCTTCCACTATTTGATCTGAGGAAGTGGGTCTGACCCAGGAAAACTCATCACCTAATAAACCATCTTGTTAGTCTTTAAAGTGCTGCATGGTTCTGTCTTTTGTTTCAAATACTTGTATGTCATTTTTAAAAAAATGATGCAACTTTTGCTGTGCACAGCGGAGAAGCAGAAGCTGCGCTGGACCTGGCAGCATTGGCTGATCTACATTGATGTTCGCAGGACCAAGCATAGGATGCAGTCTGAGGCGTTGGCTTTCAGGGAAACAAGCACTCTACGGTGAGAATGGACATGAAACAGTTACATGTTAACCACAAACACCTTCTCTATCTCATTATCTGCTCCCACACTAAATCTTGCCAGTTCACCTTTGATTTTGTCTCAGCTGCTTTCTCTCCTCCCCCTCACTCTACCAAATGACTCCATCTAGAAGGAAGTTGATCAGTAACGTGTATGTTGAGCCTGATAAGAAGAGGTTAATTCTTTGTACTAGACTGCAGAATGAATGTGTCTTAAATATTTTTGGCAGTGTGTCATGGAAAGTGTGGACAAGACGACTGCACCAGAAGTATGCTAACTGTAAGATGAAGACTCTGGCTCTGCAGCACTGGGCCCAGAGCCTGCAGTTTCGGGTAAGTCCTTCAATCCCAGCGCTTTGTACCTGAAATAACACATGGTTGTTAATAACTAGCAAAGGAATAAACAATTTTACACCCTCAATAATCCCTTTGTACACTGCAATAAACTTGAAGCTCTTTAATCCGTCAACTGTGGGAAGCAGGGTTTGCCAGATTAAAGATTTTACTGGGATAGGGAGGAAGTGAAAAGGATGAGGGAGGGTACTTACCTGATGCTCCATGTTCCCCTCCCCCACCACCACCTCACAACTAGCAAAGGAATAAACAATTTTACACCCTCAATAATCCCTTTGTACACTGCAATAAACTTGAAGCTCTTTAATCCGTCAACTGTGGGAAGCAGGGTTTGCCAGATTAAAGATTTTACTGGGATAGGGAGGAAGTGAAAAGGATGAGGGAGGGTACTTACCTGATGCTCCATGTTCCCCTCCCCCACCACCACCTCACCACTTTGGGAGCAGCAAGGAAAAGCTTCCTGCAGAGTGTTGCTGTGCTGCTGCTCTTTCCCC